CAGGGGCGTAGGAAGCGGGGGGGGCACGGGGGGCACGTGCCCCTCCAAATTTTTTTAAAGGACTAAAAGTGCCCTTTTTTGTGATAAAAAGTGCCCTTTTTGTGTTGAAAAGTGCCCTTTTTTGTGAGGAAAAGTGCCCCTTTTGTAGAAGCTAATGTCGCTGTAAATACTAAATTAAAACAATAGATGCCGTTTTTGTGTGGAAATTTACAAATTTTTTTTAAAAATTAGGTCACAAACATAAATTTCGGTATGATACGACGGAAAATTTTCCTCAGGAGAAATTTCTCCCCCCCCCCCGTCGACAACATTTCCGGGAAAAATTTTTTAGGTGCCCTTTCCGATAGTAATGTGCCCCTACAAGCCGGTGCCCCCCCAAACTCCAGGTGCTTCCTACGCCCCTGGAGATTATACCTTAAATGGATTTGCGGTTTGTGAAAACTTTATGCTTCAACATGATTTATATATAAATTAGACTGATCAACTATTTTCAAAGCAAACATATTATACGTATTATAGTCGCAGGAATAGAAAATAAGGCAACCGAGAATGCATTTAGTTTTGCGTGGAATCGTTTAAGAAATAAATAAATAAGGAATATAGAACTTCACAAATTTTATTCAACTATTCACAAAGCAAATTTAAATTTACAAGGTACATGAGTGAAATACACTAGATACGTTTTTGTTGAATTGCACGAAGTCTAACGCCTGTATTCAAAAAGCTCACTCACACTCACACTTGAGTGTGACTCGAATGAGAGGCACTCAAGTAAGGTTGAAGTGTGAGTGAGAGTGGAGTATGAGTGTGAGTGTCCACTCAACGAGGGAGCACTCACTTTAGAAAATATTAGCTAGATTTGTATTCAAAGAGCTCACTCGAGTGTGACTTGCTGGAGTTTGGGTTTGATGTTGATGTAGAAGGTATATAAACTATAGTGAGACTGTGGTAGACTTGTCAATGCATTGTACGGGGTTGCTGAACAATATGGCTGAAGCTAGACAATATTTTTCGCAATTGGAAAAGTTGCTGTTAACTGAATTAGTGCCAAAATACAAAGATCTTCTAGAAAATAAAATGAATAAGTAAAAGCCATACAACGTATATTAATTGCATTATCATATTGAATATGTTATTCATAATTTACGTAAAATGTTGCATTATCAGGGCTTGTCGTACCGCATTGCCCAAACGTCGGTAAAACATCTACTTCTTCCTCATCGCGGCCAGAATATGTTCTGGTTCATATAGATACGAAGTTGAACAACACAGCTGTAACAACAATTATAGTTAGGGAGGTTTGCAATTTTGTGCGAAGCGTTGTTGAAAGACATGGAAATAGCATATTCCATACGCCAAACATCCTTTCCACGGTGTTTCGTGTACGTACGCATTTGTGTTACATCAGTTATATCTGTGTTGCGGTAGTTTGCGGTTGGGTTTGCGATCAATTGCTGGTGTCATTAGATGTTGACGGCATGGATAACCGTTATCGCCAAGTAATATACTCTCTGGATATCACCACGTTCAAACTGTGCACTATATGCGACTATTGCCGAATATTCTGGCGTCATGTATGCTACCTGGCCAACGTGCAACAATGTTTAAAATATCTAAATTTGGCCCGCAAACAGCTTGAATTCGCCAGAAATCAAGTTTGAGTTGATCCAAAATATCGCCCTCAGGAAATGTTATGTAATTGTTCCTTAAGCGCGGTGCGATTGCCTCGGATACTCGCTTTATAATTCGATTTGCTGATGGCTGCGACATCTCACACAAATCTCCGCATGCTACATGGAAAGTACCCGTGGCGTACAACCTTAGCATCAACAAAAGTTGTATATCTGACCTAATGGGCTTTCCTCAGTTTCCTCGCTCGTTGTGTGCAGATATTTCTGGTCTAATTATATCCAGTAACTCTCGAAATCCAGCCTTAGTTACCCGGTATCTGCATCAAAACTGCTCCTTGTCATATTTCCCATAATAAAAAATATATGGTCTCCTCCTGTCTCTGTTGTTTCTTGCGACATTGTCCAGTAATTCTAACCGGGTGGTACTAGTTCTGTCAAGGGGGTGTCCGAGGTATCTACGTCAAAGTCCTCTGTTACTTTCTTAAAGAAGGTGACGTGTCTGGTTATCGTCTTTGCTTCCCCACGTGCTACTATCAGACTGCCTTTTCGTTTCATGACTCGCATTATTTCATTGCTGTAGGCGGGGGTGTGTTTCCTCCCTCGTTTTTGTTGACATAGCACTTTGTCTCCGACCTTGATCTCGCTTGTTTTGACATGCTTCTTGCTGTCTGCTCGCAGTTTCATATTTCTTTTGCTGGTCTGGTCGTTCTTCCTGACTTCCTTGTCGTAAACCAGTATGGTTTTGTTGGTGGGTGTCGGTAGTCTTGTTTTGTATTTTCTCCCATTAAACAGGAGAGAAGCTGGCGATTTCTTTGTCATTGGATGTGGAGTGGCTCGATATGCACGCAGAAATTTGTGGAGTTCTTGGCGCCAGTTTAATTTTTCCTCTTGCGCTGTTTCGATAAGTTTTCCTAGTTTTTTCATGAAGTTCTCCGCGGTGCCATTTGCCCACGGGGCATATGGTATTTTCTTTTTGTGTTCAAAACCCATGTACTTGGCATATTGCCTAAACTTTTCACTGTTATATGGTGGCCCATTGTCACTTGTTATTTGTGTAGGTATTCCAAACTGAGATAGTACCTTGTCAAGAACAGGTATGCAGGTATCCGCTGAGGTGGATCGAACTATTTCTACCGCTGGATATCTCGAGTATAGACATTGGACGACCAGAAGATATTCCCCTGTTGGAAGGGGTCCATGGAGATCTGTTGCCAGCACGTCCCATGGCTCACCAGGTAGCACTGTAGGTTTTAGTGGTTCCTGTTGTGGTGTTTTCACTGTGATCTGACATGGCATGCAGTGCGCGATTTCCTTCTCCACACGTTTGTCCATTCCTGGGAACCATGTCGTTGCTCTGAGAAATTGTTTCGTTCTGACAATTCCCTGGTGGCCCTCGTGTGCCAGTGTGACCACTTGGTTCCTTAGACTTTCCGGGACTACCATTTTACTTCCTCTTAGTACCAGTCCTTCCACTGTTGATAGTTCCTTAAAAACATGTGAGTATGGCATTAGCTCTTGTTTGTCTGGGTTGCTGATGTATCCTGTTTGAATGGCTTGGATGAGGCGTTGCATTGTTGGATCTTTTCCTGTGGCCGTCTTCATTTGTTCTAGTGTCACGGCCACAGGTAGGTCGTCTCGGATGATGGCCTTTATGTGATGATTGATCAACTGTGCCTCTTGTTGTTCTTTTTGTTCCCTGGAATCTGGTATTTGGGTAGGATGTCGGGACATGTAGTCGGTTGGGTTGTCTTTCCCGGGTTTATGTTTTAAGTTGAAGGTATATCCTTGTAGATTGAGCTTGTGCCTGTGTATTCTTGGGGGCATGTCTGCTCGGTAGCTGTTGTAAAGCGGTAGTAATGGCTTGTGGTCTGTGATAACGCTGAATTCTGGTAGACCATAGAGATAAATGTGGTTTCTTCTGATCGCAAATTCGACTGCTGCGCTCTCGAGCTCTATTTGAGCATACCTGGATTCAGGCTGTGTGGTGGACCTGCTGTCATACCGAATTACCTTGTATTGCCCTGTTTTGGGGTCGAGCTGAGTGAGCATGCTGGCTAGTCCATATTTAGAGGCATCGACAATGAGTTCTGTTGGTCTGGTGGGATCATAATATGACATAACTTGAGGGCTCGCCATTGCTTGTTTCAAGGTCTCGAAAGCTTTCTGGCATTCCTTCGTCCACTGAAACTGGGCATTTTTCTTCGTTAGGTGCCGTAGCGGTGCGGTGGTTTCCGAGTAGTGTTGTATGAAGTTGGCACTGTAGTTGGCCATCCCAAGGAATGAACGGACCTCTGCAACTGATGTGGGCGCTGGAGCTTCGATTAGGGCTTTTACCTTGTCTGCCGTTGGTGACATGCCTGCTGCTGAGAATTTCATCCCAAAAAATTCAATTTCTGGCTGGTCAAACTTGCATTTGGGTAGTCCCAATGTCAATCCACAGTCTTCGAATCTCTGTAAGACTTGTGCAAGAGCTATGTTGTGCTCCTGTTGTGTCTTTCCGTACACAATGATATCATCATACAGGTTATCTGCATTGTCTATGTCTATCAGACATTGCGAAATCTCTTCGTGAAATAATTCTGCTGCTGAGTTCGTTCCAAAGTTCAATCGTTTAAAACGTCGAAGTCCGCGTTGAGTATAGAATGTTGTCATATATCTCGACTCCTGTTTTAGCTCCAGTTGCATGTATCCCTGTTTCATGTCCAGTTTAGTGAAGTGGGTGGCACCATTCAGTTTATACCTCAGTTCCTCTAGTGTTGGTATCACGTGTCTTGTGCGTTTTATTGCAGTATTTGCGGTTGTCATATCAATATTCATTCGAAGCTGTGATGGATCTGCTTTCGGGGTCAGCACTACGTTGGATATCCACTCCGTTGGACCTTCTACTTGTTCTATGATGTCAGCCTCCTCGAGCTCCTGAATGATTTCTTCAAATTGCTGTCTCTTTGGGAATGGAATTCTGCGTTGCGCCTGAACCTTTGGTTGGACCGAGTCATCAATTATTAACTCCACTTGACGATATTTGTGCTTTCCAATGCCTTGGAACACTTTGGGGTGTTTTTTTACTATTTGCGACACTGGTGATTCGCCGGTAGATTTCTGTTGATGGAGTTGTGTGACAAAGTCTGTGACTTTGGATAAAGGTGTCAACTGCTTCGCCATGTTTGAGTATGCCATATGGGTCCCTTGTTGTTTGGTCACCTTTTCGGGCAATGGGTTGCTCAATTCCCTTTCGGGTTGTTGTACTTGTAGAAGTTCATTTACACTGATTTTCAAAATGTCTAGATCAAAAGCTGTGTACTTGCTCATAATTGGAGTTGATGTTGGTTTCTCTGTCACATAGAATGTTGCATTCACCTCCTGCCCATT